ACTTCAATTTTCTGTTCTTTTTGCTCAGTGAGTCTCTTTTTGTTTGATAAATTACTTCCATGGTTAAAATTTTTGGTTATCTCTTTCCAGCTAATATGTATGATTAGAATTTAAATAGTGTTTTTCCACCTGACAGCACATTTTGTACAGGTAAGAAAAATGCCAGTAAAGTTTTCTTGTGAGCTCCCTTGCTGAATAATATACCTGATGAAGAGGCCATTCTTCAAGAGTCTTCCTTCTGGAAAGGTGGGAATATTTTTCCTTGAGTAGTGAGGGTGGGGAAGGTCAGTATTATTTACAGAGCACTGAAGTTCTATTACAGTCACTGTTCCAAGCTCTTAACACAGTGTATTTGAAACTCAAGTGGAAGGAAAAGGGCAGGAGTAAGGTATGATGAGATAATCACAGCTCCAGGCCATGACTGACTTGGACTGGCTGCAGAGGCTTTAACAGCCTCTTCATAGACTAGAATGCAATGGCTTTCACTAGACAACTCTTCGACCCCTTGTATCTACTCAGCCAGCTTTTGGTACCTCAACATCCACGTACTTGCTTCTGTCTTGTTCTGCTGTCTTTGGCCTTCCAGATGTGGTGTGCGGCCAAAAAACGATGATGTCAGATGCTGTTGCAGTGTGGCAGGGTGGCAGAAGTGCTGCAACCTTCTTTGACAGGTCTCCTTCAGAAGCTGCTCAGAGTGAGGCCTCCAGAGCAGCCATTTCAAGCCCATGCACACACACGCACACACAAACACACACGCACGCACACGCACGCACACACACACGCACATGCACACACCACAGATAGCTCATCAGAAGAAAGACAGGGAGGGTCTGTGCATGGTCTATTCCAGCGGAGGTTTATTGCATCCACCCTGCCAAAGGGAGCAGAGACAACAGACAGAACCATGTGGCCTGCATGACTTCAGCGTGGGGTCAGTGACCAGTCCCCTGAGGGCACAGCAAAGGACAAAGGGCAGCAGCCTGAGGGGGCATGAGGGAGGAGTAATTGGGGTGGGCAGTGTCAGCTGGCCAATGGGGGAGGCAATCTAACGTAGATTGGCAGTAGTGCTGCAGAGCATCATGGCTTAAGTCCTCTCTGTCGGCTGAGGTGGGGAAAACTTTATGATGTATTCTTCCAAGGCAAGGCCCTGGGGATGTCCCTGAGGGGGAGGAGTCAGAGGATTCCACAAGATGCTATAAAGTGTTTTGTTTTCTTCTGTAAAGTAATCATTTCTGAGAAAAATGAAGAGGTGGTATTCTCTACTTGCCAACTAGTAAAATGCTTAAACTAGCAAAAGATAGGCAAGATTCAGGGATCAATTTAATGCAGTTTTATTTCTATGCTTTATCTTTAGAATCCTGACAATCATATTATCACCAAAACACGAAGTTTTACAGTATTTTGAATCAAGAGAAATAATTTCTCAGATAATTTGAAAATATTGGGTAAGGGTTGTTTTGAAGATGACAGTCGTAAAGAAAAATAGTAATTCCAAAGTTGGGTTGATATTTTGGTTTTAGACTCTCCACATTTTCTATGGATTTCCATAAATTGTTCATGGACTGCAACTCACTCTTGCCATTAGAATTTCAGGTGCAGATGGAGTGGTTTCCATGGACCTGCTATAAGCCATGTGCCACAGATTCAATCCGTAGGCTGCAAGCTGGTATTTGGCATTGTACTAAAGCCACCAGTCTGTTCTGGAATAAGGCCAAGCTTCATGGAAAATCCCGATTTCTCATTCTTGTGTCTACACATTTGCCATTTTGTTAAAGATATTTTGCTATTTTTTGGTAGAACATAATTTAACATTAGATACAAAACATTTTAAAAATTGTAAAATTCTAAACCTACATTGTCAGCACTGTAATATTTCAGACATCTGAATTCTTCTATAATTCTTATATTTTCCATGCTTTCAGGAAGCCTTAGTATTGTTTTAACTCCCTTTTCCATTAAAATGACCTTTTAATTGGTTGGAAATATATCCTAAATTTGATCTGTTCCAAACATTTGTTCAGCAAAATGGACGGATGATTACCCACTTCTGGACCCAAGCTTATTACAAGAAAAACATAAATGAACCCTCTGTGGAATTTTACAAGATTTCTGGAGAGGAAATGCAATATCCTCTTTGTAGCACAGAATGAACAGATATTCTAGTCTCAGATTTGCTACCAACTCTCCTGTGTTAACTTTGGACAAGTCACTACATTTCTGCTGGCAATTTTCTTGCTTTGTAAAAGAAGCTAATATTAATTTGCCACCAAATAATTTGACAACTCTGAGTGAATGCTTGCAAAATACTCTGAAAAGTCTGGTGGAAAATGTTATGGAAATCCATGCCTCTGCTAGCCAAAGAGGATATTTACAATAGGTCCATATTTTATGTAGTGAAATAGAAATGTTCAAGTGTAAAACCAGATGAGACCAAGACAGATCTAAAATTGAATGCAGGAGTTATTTTTTGACCTTTCAACAGAAATTATATAAGCACTCTTAGGTTATAAATAGTCCTTTGTTTTCCTTCTCTTTGTCTAACACTCAGAAGAAACACAGGGTTGGTTGTTTGTTGTAAGGAGATAGGGCAATGCTTTGGAGTGGAAACAATTGTGCACTGTTCTTTATTTATACAATTCCTATAAAGTTTGTAACTAGTATCTGTTGCATTGCTTAGCACTTTTTTATCTTCAAACAGCGTCAGGAATAAAGTTTCTATTCCTGAAAATGACAACAGCAGAAAAAAACAAAAACAGACACTAGTCCATTTCCAGCATGAAAGTTTCTTTCTTCTTTCCTGTTTTGATATGTCTGAAGAGCAAAAAAGACAGTGCTAGACTATTTTCAAACTGACACAAATACACTTGTATATTATTCTCTATATTTATTATTTATCTTCAGAAAAAAAGACAAGAAAAGTGTCCACCTTTAAATGAAAGTACTTCTATTAGCATTAAGGAATATGATACTGAATTCTTCACAGAATGATGTGTGTGCATGTTTACAAATATTCCCTTGAACAACCAGTAAGTGCTTAATCAGTAGCAATTTATTTTTGTGTCAAAAAAGTTTAATGAACAGAAACAACAGAAAACTTACCCTGAAGTCAAGTAATTGGCATTTAAGAAAAAAAGAAGTATGGAAATACCACTTTTTTCTTTTTTGTCTTCACACATTCTATGATTTCTCTGGGGTTTGTATTACTATTGACATTAAAATATACGTGAGGCAAATGGCTTTATTACATAAGGCATTTTGTGTCATTTAAATTTTTAATCACCTTTCAAACCCATTTGTTTGTTCCATAACTTTTCACTGATAGCAATTATGATTCTCCACAGTAAATGGGAATAAGCAGGCTACAGCAAAGAATACATGATTAGGCTTGTGTAATAACAGGCATCAGTTTAAAAACCAGGGATGGTGCAGTACTGTCCAGGCTACTTAGAAATGCACTGGAAACTAATCAGACATTGATTGCTTCAGTCCTGACATGTTGGCTTAACTCCCATTTTCCCTGGTTATGTTGAGAAAACCTGTCATATTATGTGTAATCCAGTCCTCTGAGTTTAAGCAAATTAAACACTTGGGATCAAATTCACACATAATGTAAGACCATGAACTTAATAGAATTATACCAAAGATAATTTTTTTTTCTCAGTGATGTTATTTAATGGCTCTTTTGCATAGTGATTTGCGGATTTATGAAGCAGTTTAGTTGCCCTGTGGACTTCACTCCATTCCAAAAATCTTTCTCCATCCTGTATGTTGAATGTCTGCAATGATTTAATATACCTAATCCAACTTAAGGAGGAAAGAAAATTCTGTCTCTGTGACAACTCGATTTTGAGTTTCTTTGCTGAAACTGTCAGCAAGATACCAACTAATGCCAAATTTGATACCATTTTTATAAAGCAGGCACTTGTCCACAGTGAGCTGGATTAAGGCCACTTACCTAACAGTATTTTCAGGGCAGGAATTTATCTTTAGATGTTATGCTGATGCCAGATTTTACTAGTAATCATAGATCTTTTTTTGAAATTATAATTTAAAAAAATACTGACTTCAGAATGTTTCCTGTAAATGAAGCCTGTGGACCCAGGCTCTATAGGCTGCAATTATTTTATTCTAGCATCATGAAATGAAAGGTGTAGCCAGGAATGAGCATGCCACCCTTCAGGTGCTGTTAGGAACAGAGGTGTCTGTAGAAATGTTAGTAGTTCTCTCTTTATTTGAATGATTTCCCCAGCATAGCAGAGGAACAATAAACGGGCCTTAGGCTCTTGCTGAAAAAAAGCAACATCTGCTAAGGAAAGGGGAATTCTAAGATGAGGATTGCCCTAGCTGAACTCTGCTCTTGCTTCTCTCAGAGATTTGCTATGTGACCTCCAGTTAGCTATTTAACAACCTTGTGCCTATTATCACGTGCATGAATTTAATATGCTTACACTGCTCTGCCTTGGAGAAAGGCATGGGCCTCGACTTGCTTGTGTTTGAAGAGAACCTGAGATTATTACATTAACTGTGTCGTATAAATGCTAGATGTTGTGAATTTGTGGTCAGCACATGGTGTGGGGACAGTCCCAAAACAGCATTTGTGAAGATAAATGTTATCTGCATGAATGGCAATACAAAGCACCAACTGAGGGCAGTAAATTACATTCCAGCCTACGGTTCTGGATTTTGCAAGTGCCTGGCCTCCTGTGTACCTCCTAATTAGGTGGGGTGAGCATGTTCCAAAGCACAGTGCCGCCGTTCCTGCCACACATCCACGTCGTCCTGCCTTCCTGTCCTTCACCCCGCTGCCTGCCGGTATGGCTGTGCACGCACCGAGGCCGGGATTCCCAGCCCCGTGGCCATTCCAGGCCCGGTGATTAAAGCACCGCACTCGTGTCGGAGGGCCCGTCCGGAGGGGCGGCGGGCGCAGCGCCCCCGCGGCCCCTCGGCCCCGCAGCGCATTGGCTGCGGCGGCGGCCGCCCCGCCGGGCCCGCTGGGTGCCCCGTGCCGGCACTGCCTCTGACCTTCCCTTCCCTTCTCTTCCCGTCCCTTCCCCGGCGCTGTCAGAGCGCATCAGCGGGCGCGGCGCTGCGATGGAGCGGCGAGCGGCAACGGCAGCCGCCGGGAGAGGAGGAAGAGGAGGAGGAGGAGGAAGGGAGAGATTAGCGCGGTGCCGGCTGGCGCAGAGGCGCGGCTGAGCGCTCCAGCGGGAGCCCGGGGCCCTGCGGACCGTGCGAGAGGCACAGGCGGAAGGAGCGGAGATGCGGCCGCTCTCCCCGCGCTGCTGAAGCTCCCGGTCACTCGGCCGGAGGAGGGAGGCCGGGAAGGTCCGTCCTTCTCGCCGCTCTGCGGGCGCAAAGGGTGCCTGTGCAGTCCCCTCCTCTCGCTTTTATCCCAGCCCCGGAGCAGGAGCCGCCGCCGCCGCCGCCGCCCCCTATCCCTTCCTGCGCTCTTCCCACCATGAGCGGGGCTGTTTTCACCTTATAAAGATGGCGGTGTGGGATCGCTGCAACCTTTAGACTAATGACTGTCAGAAACATCGCCTCCATCTGTAATATGGTGAGTGCTGGCGGGGGGCGGGCGGCGCGGCTGCCCCTGCGGGGGCCGGCTGGGGGCTGCCCCGGGGCGCAGCCCAACCGCGCGGCTCCGTCCCGTGCTCCAGCGGCGGGGGAGCCGGGCAGGCTGCTGAGAAGCGCCCGGGATGGAGTCGGCCGACGGAGAGTGACGATGTCCCGAGGAGTTTCCCGGGAGCAGCCCGGGCGTGGGCCGGGGAGGGACGCAGATGCAGAACCGGTGCGAGGCCCCCGGAGCGGGTCTGACTCCGGCCGAGGCGCGTTGCAGACCGAGCCGTGGCCCGCCCTTCCTCCGCCTGCCCTTCCTCCTGCCCTAATACTGCGAAAGGACCAAAGTTGGGTTCTGAATCCACATTAAATCTGTGACCCTATTTAACCCTCTCAGGCAGGCACCCTGCGCTCTCCTAGGGCCGGCAGCTCCCCAGATTACATAGAAAAGAAGGATGATTAGATGCCTAATAACACTTTTGGATCCCGATGCTAGGTGCTTGCTCTAGGAAGTCTTTGCTTTAGAGCAAACTGGGTTTAACTTGCACTGCAGGCTGCTCGAAGAGAACTGGTGTTTACAAAGTACTCTTGAATCACTTAGCTTTCTCAAAACCAATTAGGCAATTAGGAAGGAACAAGGAAACGTTTGTATTTTTGTTATGTTCACTTCGCTACTTTTCTCCCCATGGAACAGTTGAAACGATGCTTTCTGCATTGTGTTTGGGTTTAATTTTAATTCTAACAAACTTGGAGCACCTAATTTGGTTTAGGTTTTTGAAACTTCTTGGCAGGAGGAGGAAAAGCTCAAACTCTGTCAAAGACTTTTTAATACTGTGAGACTGTAGCAAACTTGCCAAATAAATAGTTGCGTGCTAAGCATCTCAATGCAAACAGAAGAGAATCCTATTTTTGTTCATTTTGGGGTTTTAGTCTGTATTTTTCACCCTTATTTCCAGGTTCTTCAAGAGCAGCTACACACAGTTGCCAGCTTCCCTCCATGTGGTACCCCAGCATGCCTTGTGCTGCTGATGCCACACATACCATTCACCTGCCCTGGAGAATGGAGCCTGTCTCTAGGGTAAGGCAGTGGGCACAGCCCCAGAGGCCTGGCTCCTTCGGGGTCTGAGTGAGGGAGTGCAGAGCGCAAGCCTGCTCCTCTTCCATGTGTCCACACTTCCACTTAAGTGGGATTGCTCTTTTGTTGCAAATGAGATGCCTGGGAAATCCCATGCATAGCTTTCCTTTGAACCTCAGCCCTCCCTTTGAAATGCCTGCTCTGAAATGCAGAGAGGGTGAGTTGGTTCTGAGGTTAAAAGAATTAATACAAAATCCAGATTTGTGGTATAATAACCTGGGTGCTCACCTTTCTTCATCAACAGTAACTAGTTTTCTGAACTTTTCATTGTTCTTAATGATTTCCAGTCCAATGAGCCACAAATACTGCAAAGAGAGCTTCAGGAAATGGTACAGGACTGAGGAGAAAACCTAGATGCACTTACCTTCTCTCTGAGGCAGGCTCCAGTTTTTACTGCTGATTAATGGTGGATGTGATGCCTTGCAAATTTTATAAAAGAGCACTGCATGAAGGGGAGCTGGAGACTCATAGGTGGATGTAAGACCTTGGTATAAAGTACTAGGAACTCTGATTTTTTCACGTGCTTCAGACAGATGCACTTGCATGCAGCACGGTTCCCCAAAGACTGAACAGATTCACAACAGAACTGATGAAGTTCTCGCAGTGGTGTGCTGCTCAGCTGTCATTGCCAGTATATCCTGCAAAAGTAGCATCTGAGAGGTGGAGAGACCAAAGGGAAGAAGGAGAGCCCCAAGCAGAAAAGGGGGCATACCAGGATTCATACTTCAAGACAATTCTAGCTGATGGTACTGTGACAGAAGGTGCGGTCTATTCAATGTTACTGATGTTTTAAGGCTACACATTCCTTGAGGTCTGTGTACTTAGCTTTTAGAGATGCCATGTTGTGTTGGTCACATTTAGTTTTTTCTGGATAACCCTCAGGGACTGGAAGTTCTTTTAGGCAAAAACAATGGAGTTTTAGACAGCTACAGGAATTTGGGGCTGTAAGAGAAATACAAATTCTTTCAAGTGCTGGCAACGTTGCATTATGGCTCCTCCAAAAATGTGTCCACTCTGATGAGGTGATGGACTTGAACTCAGTGGTCTGTAGAAGGAGCTATGACAACTTTCCAGAGGGCTAGAGGTATAAAAGTAAATCTTTACCTTTTTAAAAGCTAAATATTTGCCCTAAATATAGTTTGATTTAGGACATCTGTAGAAATCTATCTAGAAAGATGCTGAGATGCTGATTCCCAGACCTTGTTCCTGCACTATAATGTAGTGCTTGAAAACTGAGCTACGGACAAGCTGTGGATTAAGAAATAGCTGTATAGTTCTTTGGCAATATAATATGTTTTTCTATATAATGCTACATAATAATAGGTTTCTAAGTTTTTTAACCTGGTTAAACGCAGTAATTTAAAAAAGGGGGCTCTGGTCTTTATTTTTTCCCATTCCACTTCAGAGTGTTCACAGAGGGTTTTCCATTTTTTGAAAAAAAACCCCAAAATCTAAACAAAGATGTCTGGTTGGTTTTTACGGGTGGTGGGGGAAGTAGAGGAAGAGAGACAGAGGCAGCAATTGGTCCTGAAATGCTTGTCCTTCCCCGAATGCAACTTAGATTGTGTTTTCAATGGTAGTCCTTGACAAAGTTTTTTGAGTGTGTTTGTTCAATGTTTGCTCTCATGTCCTGAAGGGAAAAATATTACTGAAATTGAACTGAATTAATTGAAAAACCTGGCTAGCCAGCATTTTTGGATGTATGTTTGCTATTAAGTTGACTGCCTGATATTTGATATCTTGGGTTGTAATTTTGATCTCCTAAAGATGGTAGAGGTCATTAGTCTTTTCAGGAAGGATCAAAACAAGTGTAGTGAAGCAAGAAAGACAGGAACAGTATTTAACTCACTTGCGAAAGATCCTTAGTACTATATATTCACTGGATAAGCTCTCACATGCTGAGATAGACAGTAGGAGCTAGCCAGTAAGAAACAAATATTTGGCTGGGGAAGTTTCCACTTGGCACATTTACTTGTAGTAAATATTTAAATGCACAACTCTCTAGAATTAAACAAAATTCCTCTATTGTCTTTTACCAGTTTTGTCCCCTAAGTTATAATAATAGCAATAATTTAGTTATTATTCACTGATTTGTTTAATGAGAATTAAGAGCTAAAACTTGTTCTGAATGGGTGGAGGGGATGAAGGCAACTGTGCCTGATGGAATCAGTAGGATTCTTATGTAGGCATGATGGCCATGTTCACTGAGAAGGAGGTGTAGTCCACAGGACGTTCAACTTACCTGCCCTTCAGCCCCTGTGAAAACTCATTTGCTCTGTCTGCACACCATTTTCACACTGAGGGATGTATACACTTGTATACCATGTATATGAGTTCTCATCTTTTATGTAGGACAGCTACAACAGATGTGAAGAAGCATAGAATACATTGAAAAAACTCTATTTGAGGGAATACCAACAGGCAGTGCCTCCTAACACTGGGAGACTGTAGGCACCAGCTAGGGATGTGCTGTAATTCTCTTTTATTGTTTCTGTGGAATAACCCAATGACTCAAGTACCAAATTCTGGTTCATGGGTAGACAGGCATGCTGGCATTTCATGCTTACTGAAATCCTCTGCAGTGTGTTTCTCTGTTGATGAGCTTTAGGTAAAGCCTTGAATTCTGAGTTAAGCTCATGCTGCAGCTGTGGCCTAGGGATATTACTGTTATGTGCAGTGAAGGACATCTAACCATTTCAGAATGTATTGACATACATTTACTGAATCTGGCTAACAAGCTCTGTGGATCATATTTCTCTCTTTTAGAATTCTGTTGAGAACAGGTATTAATTCCCTCCCTTTCATATTTTTGTAATAGTATCTCAAATATTCCAATTAGAACTTCATAGTGCTCTGACAATTAATGAACAGAATAAGCTAAACACATTCAGTCTTCTCTGATACAAGGTATTATCTGAGATACCTCATAGTTACTCCTGGTTGTTGTTGTATAGATATCCTTTGGAATAAAAGTTGCCGTTCCTTGGATTAATTTTGGAATTTCATGTTACTCTTTCTTCTCATAGTCTCTTAGTTATGAGTTTCAGAACAATAGCTGGTTTTCTGCATGAAAACAGTCACACAATTCATCAGGAATTATGTGAACACCTGTGAATTGCAGCTTTCATTTTAAAATAAACAAACAAACAAAGTGTTTCTAACAATCCTAGAAACTGGTTATAGAGAAAAAACATACAAGCCTAGGAGTCTCTACATTCAGGAAACAAATAAAATAAATGTTGGAATTTTTTTTTTGTTTATTTAATAGCATGATTTTAGAGACTAATTGCAGCATTTGTTTGCATGTAGGGCATTGGCAGAATGAATACTCAAACTACAGATTTGGAAAAGGCTTTATACAAAAAAAACACCCCTATGATTTTAATGCTGTGGAAATTCTAAAATCCTGTTTCATACAGGAGTAATAAGAATATTATTTGGCTACAGTATTGATCACTATGATTTTCAATTGGATTTATTCATTTGGACAACCTGCAGTGTATATTTCTTCATGTCTCATATATCTTCCCATAAATACAGATAAAGGCGAAATAATACATGCCAGACAATAAAAACAGTTATCTGAAGGCATATTTAGATTGATAAAGGAAAATATATTTTTACATCGGATAAGATGTAGACAGTTCAAGCAATGCAGATTTTCTCGAGAGTGACAATTTCAATATGACATAGAAAATATAGAAACAAAAATATGAAAAGTATGGAGAATATGAAGTGTAATCTTTGTAATAACTTTCTGAAGTAATGAGAAACTTGACAGTATGACTAACAAATGGGCACTGGACTAACAGACAGGAAGTGTGCATTCCATGAAAAGATGAATGGAAGTCCACAAAAGATAT